CTCCCAGCCACCATAGCCTCGACCTGCTGGGCTCCAGCGATTCTTCCGCCTCAGTCTTCCAAGTAGCTGGAACTACAGATGCGCGCCACCACGTCCGGCTAATATTTCCTTCTTTATTTATTTATTTATTTTTGAGTCGGAGTCTCACTCTGTCGCCCAGACTGGAGTGCAGTGGCCGCTCCCGGCCACCGCAGCCTCGACCTGCTGGGCTCCAGCGATCCTTCCGTCTCAGCCTTCCAAGTAGCCAGAATTACAGGCATGCGCTACCACGCCCGGCTGATTTTTTTTTTTGATTTATTGTAGAGATGAGGTCTCACTGCCCAGGTAGGTCTCGAAACCGCGGGCTCAGGCAATCCTCCCACCTCAGCCTCCCAAAGGCGCGGGATTACAGGCTGAGCCACCGAGCCCGGCTTAATATTTCCTTCTTAATACACTTTGGTATTTTGCAAACTTTCTCCAATAAATCTTCATTCCTTTCATAATCTTAGAAAATAATAAATTCTATTTAAAAGCCCCTCACCTAATCTGTTATTAATCACTCTGTGCAAATGGCTACTCAAATTTATACTTTATTGTAGTGATCCCTGAAGACATGGAGAGCCTAGTAGTAATTTCAACTTAAATTTCCAGACTCTTTCCAGATGAATGGAAAACTACATCCATAGTGTATTCATGTAGAATTTGTAATTGCCTCCTTTGTGCTATTTATTCCCAGGCAATATCTGAGTTTGAAATTACATGCGGTTATACTTAAAATGATTTAGTACATATTATTTTCCTTTCTATCTTTAACACATCCATTGTTTTCTTACATGGAGAATGAGGGGCAGGGATAATCGCTAAACTTTATTTTATCTATACTACTCTATTCATTAGCTGAGCTTGTTCTACAATAAACTCATTAGAACTAGCTTGCAGAGAAGTGTATTTTGAATTCCTGTGAATATAGTTCAACTCAGTAGCCAGTAAACATCCTCAAACTACATACAGAAGAATAAGAATGTACTTAATTCAGGTCACTGCCTTGCTAAGGTATGGTGTGGCCATGTGCTCTTTGAACTATGGCCAGGCCATGTTTTCTAAAGCTTTGGTCCCCTTCCCTACCTTGGGAAGGTGAATCTCCTCTTTCTCTCTCTCTAATTCGCTTTCTTTTCTTTTCTTTTTTTGTGAGAAAGCAGGATTTATTGAGAGGACAGAAAAGCTCCCACTGTGGGAGGGGACCCGAAGGGGTTACCCCTCTAATTCACTATCTAAATAAACTATATGTTCTAATCTAAAAAAAAAAAAAAGAATGTACTTCAAAAGTGTACCCTTGATTTGTAGACCATGACACTAGATAGTGATAAGTTAATAAGTCTGAAGAGTTTTAATACTATAATCATTTAGCTCATCCATACAAAGTCTTAACCAATCTTGGAAATATACCTCTGGTTGCAGTCACTCCTTCCTAATTAGAAATGTATCTGTGTATCTCCATGTGGCATTACTTAAAAAGAGGAACTTTCTAAGATTTCTCTCAACCTTCTGTTTTTCTAACTATGGAGAAATCTGCTTACAACATGGACCCCATTAGTGAAATCCTGTTCATTTACCTCATGACTTGCATATATTGCACTAGCGTATTTCAGGATGTCTTTGTTCTGTTTTTAAAAGAGGCAGTGGCTTTTGGATGGATTATGAATAGAACAATTATATTATAGGCATTTTCTTTTCAAAGCCCATTTTCAATATAACTTGGCAGTTAAGCAGTTAAAAATAATAGGCTTGGAAACAAACAAACCTAAGTGTGTATCCTAGCTATACTTTTAAACTACTTCTAGACGTTGGGCAGTTTACATTACAGTTCTTTTTTTTTTTTTTGAGTTGGAGTCTCACTCTGTCGCCCAGACTGGAGTGCAGTGGCCGCTTCCGGCCACCGCAGCCTCGACCTGCTGGGCTCCGGCGATCATTCCGCCTCAGCCTCCCAAGTAGCCAGAAATACAGGCATGCGCCACCACGCCCGGCTGATTTTTTGATTTATTGTAGAGATGAGGTCTCGCTGCCCAGGCGGGTCTCGAACCCCCCAGGCTCAGGCAATCCACTCATCTCAGCCTCCCAAAGGCGCAGGATTACAGGCTGAGCCACCGAGCCCAGCTACGTTACAGCTCTTATCTTTAGTTTTGTCATTTGTAAAAGAGAGCTAATAATAGAACTCTGTTTATAAAATTGGTTGTGAGGAATAATTACATGCCATACATAAAGAGCTTAGCATTCTGTTTAGTCAAGCAAGGTTCACTGAGCACCAATCATGTGCCAGGCACTGTGTCAAGCTCCCATCTATCTGTTCTCTCTTTTTTTTTTTTTTGAGTTGGAGTCTCACTCTGTCGCCCAGACTGGAGTGCAGTGGTCGCTCCTGGCCACCGCAGCCTCAACCTGCCGGGCTCCGGTGATCCTTCCGCCTCAGCCTTCTGAGTAGCTGGAATTACAGGCATGGGCTACCACGCCCAGCTGATTTTTTGATTCACTGTAGAGATGAGGTCTCGCTGCCCAGGCGTGTCTCGAACCCGTGGGTTCAAGCAATCCACTCACCTCAGCCTCCCAAAGACGAGGGATTACAGGCTGAGCCACCGAGCACGGCTGTTCTCTTTTTTACCCCACATTTTCACCTAACTTCTCCTTATTTCTCAGGGAAGGCTTCTGCTGAGCCCAATTAGTTCAGTTTCTCCAAGAAGTTGATGTCAAGTTATAATTAGACATGCAAGAGATTTATTGGGAAAGACCTCTGTGGAGAATGATACTGGGGGAGGCGGGGAAAGCCTGATTCCAATGCAAATCTGACATCTTTAAAGGAGAGGAAGAAGGAAGGAGAATTGGAGAGAAAAAGACCATAGCACCGTTCTAAGAAAGTTTTGGGTAGGCCAATGACAAGTTCCCAAGCCAGAATTGCCCATGAGAGGAGCCCAGCATTCTACAGGAACAGGCTAGCACTGGTACCCTGCTATGTCCAGTCACTAGCTAGTTGCAGTTGAGGACAAGCATGGCTTCAGTTCCAGATTTAGTGGCAGATCCAGAAAGGCAGAAGTTGGGCTTGTCAGCCACTGTGCTTTCCACACTGGAGGTCTGAGTAGAGTTTGTAAATAACCATCATACCCTTCATGGTAGATTTCCCTAGATTTCATTTGCTCTTATAGTGACATGTATTTTTCCTTTTCTCAGTTATCACCATTAACATTAAATCTTTACTCAATTGTAAAGGCTATTTTCTCTCTCTGAACAGTAGGCAACATGAGGATGGTTCCTAGGTTAATCTTATCATTGCACCTCCAAGATGTACAAGGTGCACAAGGCGAGATGGCATGTGACAGGCACAAGATACAATAGTAGCCATTATTTTTATCCACTCTCTTTTCTGCACTGCACATTACTACATCCAAACTAGTCTTACACTGCAATAGAAATGGTAGATTCCAGCTTAATGTTATTTTCTGTGGAGTAACCTTTATTTTTAACATATTGGCAAAGCTTAACCAAAAGTGGAGAAGATACATGCCCAAAGAAAGTAGAGCTCCCAGGTCTTGTAAATTCTTTCTAGTTTCTTCCATGGATATTTTCTTGTACCTTCTCTTTTCTCAGCCAAGAGAACCCGGCAGGCTAGTAACTGTCAGCATTTCCCTAAACAACCTACCTCTTTGCTTTCTTTCCAGAAAGCAAAATTTTCAGAAGGATGTTGGGAAGATGAGAATAGACCTGTAAATTACTAAATCCAGGATGAAGGAACATAGAAGTTATAGAATGATTGTAAATCACAGAAGAGCCAAGACACCAGGCACATGCCAAATACAAAATTAAAAATCACAAAAACCACCACAAAAGTCCTCAAGTCCCTTACTGTCACCCTTCTTTGCTGATTCTGCCCCAAAGTTTGGAGTTGAGTGTGGAGAAGGCTACATTGTTTGGTGAGAGGGCATAAAGTGCTGGAGTCAGGCTATCTAGCTAGAGTAAAAGCTTGTCTTTGGCATTATTTGTGGGATATTGAGAAAGTTCCTTGACCTGAGACTCAGTTTTCTAAACTCTAAAGTGGAGATAATGATGGTAGCTTTGTGAGAGCGCTATTAATCAGAATATAAGAGATAATTTATATAAAGTGCGTAGCAAGACACTTAGCATATAGCAAGCTCCTAATAAATCAATTATTTTCAGGATGTCTGCAACATCTTAGTCATTTCCAAGATGTAATCCACAGACATTTTCAGGGATCACAAGGTCAAAATATATTCATAATAATACTAAGAATTTATTTACTGTTTTTCATGCGTCAACATTGGCTTTGATGGTTCAAAAGCAAACTACTGCACATCACAATGTGACATTGCTTCACACCCACTGCTTTGATAGTTATAATCAAAGAGACAGACAATAGTGTTGATGAGGATATGGAGAAATTTGAACACTCATACAATGATGAAAGAAATGTAAAACGATGCAACTACTTTGGAAAACGATTTAGTTGTTCCTCAAAAAACTAAGCATAGAGTTACCATATGACCCAGCAAATCAACTGCTAGGTATATACCAAACATAGTTGAAAACATGTTTAGGCTAGGCGTGGTGGCTCACACCTATAATCCCAGCACTTTGGGAGGTGAGAGGACTGCCTGAGCCCATGGGTTCGAGACCAGCCTGGGCAATTTGGTACGACCTCATCTCCACAATAAGTCAAAAAACTAGCCAGGTGTGCTGATGTGTGCCTGTAGTTCCAGC